CTGCACACTCATCTTGTATCATCTGAGCACATTTTTAACAGGCCATACTGGGAGATTAAGATAATATTCAATGATGTCATTTTCCCTCATAACAACTCAGTAGGGGATTGAAGAACTTTCCAGTTTCATTTTTATAAATTGAGAAGGAAGCACAGATCATAGGATCTTTTATAACATCAATTTTTTTCCCCTTTAAAAAAACCCCACATTTTCCTGTTCTTTCCACCTATCACTTTTACTTGTTTATTATTTCTCCTGCTCAAAACTGTCTGTTCCCAGATTCTCTGAGTGTGTGTATCCTAAGAGAGCCTTGTCTTAGCAGTTACAAGGTTATAGGGATCAGACTTGCAGATTTTTTTCCCAGCCTTTAGTCTCACCCAAAGGAGTTCTGGCAGCCTCCTGGTAAGAAACTGTGCTGCAATCCCAAGGCATGCGGTTTGATTCTGCAAGAGAAGGATGGGCAATCTCCTTCTGTGCGATTTACTTCCTCTGAAAACCAGCTGGAGGGTCAGATATGGGTCAGTTCCAATTCAACAAGACACAGGAAGTCTCATCCAGGGTAATGGTAAGAAGCCGCACTGCAATCTCAAAGGCATGTGTGGTTTGGGAAAGGGCAGTCTCCTGCGATGCAATTTATCATCTCTGAAATATTGCTAGGCTAGCTATGATTTGGTTTTAACTTGATGGTAAATAATAGCAGCAATCACTCACTACAGGAACATGCAGCACTTTTGTTTCAAATGCTGCTCTCAAAACTGGCCCACCATACCTTCTAGTAAGGTGTGGTCTCAGGTCCACCCAATGGCCCGTGGCTCTACTTCATATAAAAATATCAAGCTTTATTCAAAATACACATGGGATCACCAAGATTAGGAATCTTCTGGACAGAAACTGGTAAATTTAACATAAACAATGTTTAGGTACAAAACCTTACATTGGTAGACAGAAAAAAAAAATATATTTTGAAAAATAGGGGAGCTCTGTCTGGTGCTTGGTCCATAGGGAGATGCAGTGCTAACCCAAGGACCAGGACTCGAATAGAGTCCATGAGTGTCACTCCCTCTACTGCTAAATAACTGCTGTCATCACAGAGGCCTTGCAACCAATTGTATGGGGTAGACTGTCTCTAAAAATCTCTTGGACAGAGAGGGCAGCTAGGAGTGGGTTCCAACTCAACAGTGTACATACTTTGCTATAAATGGATTCTAGGTTTACTATTCGGGTACTTTTATATGGGAATTTAAGAGTAAAAATATGCATACTCTTTTTAAAAGGCGTTCAACCCATTGTTATCTTTCGCATTAACGTAAATTCTAGGGAAATCTGTGCAGCATCCCACTTTATTCAACCTATCTAGATTTTGGATTGGATGGATTTGGATAGTAACAAGCTGTAGGTTGGCAGTCTCTTGTTAGGGCCAATGAGAGTCTGGTACGCAGGCCTGAGGTTCTTTAAAATTTATTTGGGCCCAAGGGCTGTGGTACAGCATTGCTCTTTCATTTTGCTGTGCTGAGGTAACTTGGGGTTGCTGTGATACTGAACACTGTGCCACTGGTGTTTCAAATGCCATGATGGTTACCCATGGTTGACAGTGATTAGTGAAGTTCACAGCTTAAGACAGGCTTGTAACCAAGAGTGGCATCCACTTCTTAAATATGCCACTGGAAACTATGAACTTAGAACAGGGTTAAGGTCTTTTGTTCATATGGTTATGAGTTGAGCTTGACTCGATGGCACTTAACAACATGTAGACTTTTACTCTTTGTTGGTTTATACCCCATGAAGAAACTTTCCATGTCTTTGCCAAGTCACTTATCATTTTTTCCCATTCATTTTCCAAGTCTCTCATGTTTTCTTCTTCCATTCTGTTAATACCTGTGAATCTAATGTTTTATTTTCCAACATGAAGGTTTTGAGTGAGGAGATACAATTGTTGAAGATAATGTTTAACTCACATTTCTCATTTCTCCTATATAAAGAGCTATTCTCTAAGAGAGATTCAAATCAAAACAACTATGAGGTATCATCTCACCCCAGTCAGAATAGCAAAATTTAACAGAACAGCAAACAACAAATGCTGGCAAGGTTGTGAAGAAACTGGAACCCATATTCACTGTTGGTGGAAGTGTGAAATGGTGCAGCCACTGTGGAAAGTGGTGTGGCACTTTCTCAAAAAGTTGCAAATAGAGATACCATTTGACCCAGCAATTCCACTCCTGGGAATATACCCTAAAGAGACCATAACCGACCCAAGCAGATATATGCAGACCCATATTTATTGAGGCTTTGTTCACAATAGCAAGGAGTTGGAAATAACCTAAGTGCCCATCAACAAATGAACGGATCACACAATGGAATACTACACTGCATTGAAAAACAAGGAACTCATGCAATATTATTAAAAATGGGTGACTCTGGAGGACCTTATGCTGAGTGAAATATCTGTCACAAAAGGAAAATACTGTATGGTGCCACTGTTGTAGATTGAGGCTGACATCAGGGTGGAGGTAAGACTGAGAAAAACTGGATAAATTATGTATACTGCATTGAAGCTGATGAGGGAGAGAACAGTTTAAAAGTAATTTATTTTATCAAAACAACTATGAGATATCATCTCACCCCAGTAAGAATAGCAAAATATAACAGAACAGCAAGCAATAAATGCTGGCGAGGATGTGGAGAAACTGGAACTCTTATTCACTGTTGGTGGGAATGTAAGATGGTGCAAC